AATATATTGGGCAAACAGTCATTATTGCAATTACCATACCATACTCAGTTTAATAATAAAAATAAACTTTAGAAGTATTTGTGATTTTTAGCGTAGAAAGCACTGTTATTTATTTAAAATACTCTTTTAAATTAGACACTACCGGCGAAGAAGTTGGAAAATTACTTGCAAAAATATGGACTACTTTGCTCTCAAATACATATTTGCAGTGATTTTACTGGTAACTCCTAGTTCAACTGAGACTTTAAAACCGAAATTTACGCAACTGATTTGTAAAGTTCTCGACAACTCTTTTGTAGTCTCCGAAGTATGCGCTTTGGATAGTAAAAGTGTAGCAAATATACGACTTAAATTGCTTAAACGGCCACTGGATAATATAACGGTGTGTATGCCATATGTATATGCGATGCGTGCTTTATAGGAAACAGAACTTAAGGGATTATATTCACTTGCAAGTTGGAAAAACGCGTTTGGTGGTTGCTTGTAAAATGAAAGTTTAAGAAATTAATTTTGAAAGTTTGTGAACTCTCTTCATCCCAAAGTCGCTCTACAGGAGAAACACTGAAAAAAGGTATAAGAGCGTCGTGTCAAAATTGTATGTCGATCGGTTCTGACGTTTTGGAGAAATGTTTCTCATCGACTTCGAAAGCAACGTTTAACGAAAAATGGGTTTAAATTTTTGGGAACCAATTAGGAAGCTTACAGACGCGCTCACATCTCGGAAATTATTTCCCAAACCAACTTCAGGTTTTCGAAGAATATTCTCAAATATATCTCACATGATATTTCACTCGATAGTTTGAAACACGCAAGTGGTGATAACCCCTTAAGACAGACTGATAGTGTTCTCTTATTCAAAATGTGCTTCCTTTTTCTCCTATCCAGCTTCAAGGAATGGTAATGAAGTATATAAATGGCAGTTACCAAAATTACTACTTCAACAATCTCTACGATATATGCAAGATCCTGCGCTCCAAACGCAATGTTTTCGTGCAGTTCATATATCAGCTAGTACTGCCGTATACAAATATGAATCATACCTGTCCTTTTAACGAGGTTTGTAGCGTATTAGACGTGTTAAGTGTTCAGTATATAATTTATATTATTTTCACCGTTAACTTTTGATGTTTCAGCCTTATTTGTATGTAAAAAATTTTCCCTTAGATGACATCGCATTGCATCCACTAAAAATGTTAACGAAAGGAAAGTATGCCTTAATCGGTACATGGATGACGAATAGAGTCAAGCGTTTGAACGTTGAATTGTATTTGTCGATGTAACATTGAACGTTTGTTTATATAACTTTGTTTTATGGAGATCTCATGAATTAAAATAAAAAGTTTGTGGAGTATTTAACACATTAGTTGATCTGGTATTTGACGTCTTCAAGAATTACATTTTTATTTCCCTACAATCCTATGATTAGAAGTATTAAAAACCACTGTTTTGGTACAATTCAGGTAATTCAACATCTCCTTAAAGTAATATAAAAGTAGAAAAAACTTTGCCAGCAACCTATTATTTCCTCTTATATCCAAGTCTGGCTTTTGTTTTTTTTTTTTTACAAATAAGTTGCAATTAATAAGAAAGTGGTAAGTTATTTCTATCTCATCTCCTTCTAATCTACTGTTGTAACTAATATTTGGTAAGATTTTACACTTTACCGCTTGGATATTACGCTAAAACTTGTTAAAACTCCTAAAAATATGGAAAATCTTACCCAGCTGATTCGCAAAGTTGCCGACGGTTGTGCAGCGGCCACCAAGCTCCTGCCAGGCTATTTAAGTATAACCCGAAAGAGGACAGCGGAGTTTGTCGTTGAATTGTTCTTTCTTGTCAACTTATTTGTTTTACAGTTACTCAAACAAATCTTTTCCACAAGTAACCGGATTCCATTGATAGCGAGGCTAGACTGTCTATAATAATCAGGCGAATAAGATGGTTGCGGCGAAGTTGTTTGAAATTTGGCAAAGAACTCATTGAGAATCAATGCAGTACGCGACGGTGCATTATAATGCTGCAAAATCCAAAAGTTTCCGACCCGCAATTCCGACCGTTTTATTTTTTTTTTACAAATAATTGCGTGCATATGACTCATAACACTCTAAAATTATTCCTTAATGAAAGTTTGGCCGATCGGCAAGAATTCGGAGTGAGCCACATCACGATAAGAAAACTGGCTACATAACCTTGATTTGTCTCCGGGTCGGAGCATAGAACCAATACTGGTGGGCAGCATTAATACGTTTCCTGATATCCTGGTAGTCGGAAAGTATTATTTCAGAGACGTTAACGCAACGCTGTTTTTCGAAAAAAATAATGAGTGATTTTGAAACCAATTGCGGTTTCACTTTTCTTAGGCCCAATAGTTCTTTCAAAATGGTTTTCACTGAAAATTTCGACATTCCAACAATGCCAGTAAGATCTCTGAATGTTAATTGTCGATCCTCAAGCACAAAGTCCTTTATTTTATTGACGTGTAGATCATCTGTTGATGGCCGTTCTGGATGTGGTTTGTCGTCAACGTGTGCTGGACGCTTTTTGACACTGTATCGCGACAAACAATTATCACCGTAGGCCGATGAATGGGCTTTCGCCCGAAAAAGGCTGACTATTTTTTGCTCATAGTAGTTTAGTTTATAAAATTTTCTCAATTTCTTAGCTCGCCATATACAGCTTTACTGAATTTTAAGTACTCAAACTATCCTCGTATTGAATCGGAAATATCTTAGAGTCGTATAATGAAATATTTTAGATTAGAGAAATTTTGGTAGAATAAGTTTACAGTTTTTATTTTATTTTTATTTATTTATTTTATTTCATTATTACTATTTTCTTATTTTTAATTTTTTTTTTTTAATTCTATTCTTTTTTATATTTTAGAATTTTCCCTATGTTGGAGCTGTGGTACTTATATAAACGAACTTTGGCGTGATGCAATCGTTTATATTTAGAAATTTTTCAACAAAATACCGATTATCTGCCAAATCTAGACTAATTTAGTTCTTAAAACAGTATTTGCATCAAATTAAAAAAGTTTATCTAAGCAAATCAATAAAAACAAAATAAAGGTACCCAATGAAGTCACATGCATGATTTTAATTTATTGATGCGATTTTCTGATATATAAGTGACATTCAATATATTGTGCTTTTCCAGCATTTATCCAATTTTTTTTTATTCAAATTCAGCTTGTGAAATTAAACCACTAGCAGCCGCTTAGTTATGCACCAGTAAACCCAAAAGCCAGCAAAGCAAAATGTTTAATAGAATATAAAAAAAATTATTGATTTTCGAATTAAAAAGCAAAACACAATTGAGAGTTAACACTATGAAACTATGATCGATTAGTTCAACTTTAATAGCGATGTCATTTTTGACTAGTTATTTTAAATACAAATATCCACTGTTATAACCAAAATACGCTATCTCATTGTCATTGAGATAACTCACATGTTGGTCGATATAAGTGGTCGAAAATCGGCCAAGAAAAAACGTTAACTTCGGCTCCACCGAAGCTCATATACTCTTCATAGGTGCATTTCTTTTAGAAACTATGTGTGCAGTTTGTATGGAAGCTATATGCTATAGTAATACGTTCTGAACCATTATTCTATATTGGTACCTTAAGCAGTAATCCATGCCAAATTTCGTGAAGATGACACGTGAAATGGGGAAGAAGATTATCTCTTTCAAATCTTGGCGCAACTACGGGGCAGGTGGTCCATTCTTTTTGTCTTTTGACTCGACGCAGCATTTCGACAGATCACTGGCAAATGACAGCCGTAATTTTTTGCTCCAAACGAGGCGGGATCGGCCGCATAGATTTTAGACTTTACATATCCCCAGAGACAGTAGTTTAACCGTGTGATATCACACGACCTTGGCGCCAATCGATGCGCTAAAAACGTGAAATTATCTGCTCACCGAAGTTTTCTCTCAATAAAAGTGGCACCGTCTTGTTGAAACCAAATTTCTGGAAGATTACGAACTTCAATTTTAAGTTGGTTAGCATGGCGCTTCAACGATCACCATTAAAGGCTACGTTTTCAACGGCCTCCAAACTACACCAAACCCTTATTTTTCTGGATGAAATGGTAGCGTTTGAATCTCTTAAGGTTACACTTCTTCCCAAATGCGGCAATTTTGTTTGTTTATGTTCCCATTGAGCCAGAAATGCGCCTCATCGCTGAACAAAATTTGGCTAGAAAACGTAGAATAATCGAATCGAATGATGGAACTTTTTAGGAGCCCATAAAACGCAGTGATTGTGCTTGGGAAGATGAAGTGGTTTCAGTTATTGCACAAGCTGTATTTTTTACGCTTTCAATTTAAGATCTCGATGTAAAATGCGCCAAGTCATTCCATACGTCAGTTCGAGCTGCCGAATCGACTCACCACGGTCTTCGTGTACACTCCCAGCTATGGCTGCTGTTTTTATTCTACTCCATTCTATTCGGTCGAATATTATCCAGTAATGAATGCTGGTCCTCAAGATGGCTGATGGTGTTGCGAATAGTACGCTCAGTATGCCGATTATGTTGACCATAAGTTGAGCAAAGCGTGCGAAACACATTATTTACAGAATGTGGAATTGAGAGTGAGAAAGAAGTGAGTTGAAAGATTTGCTCTTCAGGTGTAAGCCTTTCTATGATGATAACTCAAACAATGCTGAACAAAAACAAAATGACAGCTTGACAAGACGATTGAAAAGGTACCTCTAATTTGATCACCCGTTATAACATTTTTGAACTAAGTATCTTGCAAAGCACGTTCAACCAAATGGCAACTATCCACTAAACACAAATTCATTAAATCATCATAAAATAATGATAATGATAAATATAATTGTTGGAATTATTGAAATTCCGTTAACATGTTCGCGAAGATATACACTTGTGAAAATGATTTGATGAGTTCATTATGGATTCGGGTAAGGAACAAAGTGAAGTTATAAAATAAATAAAATTTGCAAGAAATATAAAACCATCAGTAGTGCTTTCAGTACAACGAAACAAAATTCTAATTTTTAGCTCCCTCCACTCCTCGTATAAAACCAAAGATTATGTCGATTAAAACAAGTTTATTCAGGCTATTCTTGGTGGCCAGTTTGACACCGCTTTTGCAGCTGAGAATGGCTGCTCAAATTACGAACATCAAATGCATAGTGCTCGATAAAAGATGCGTGAACTTCACCGAGTGCCGTTTGCGTGTGGTGAAACGTGATGTGAATGAGATCTCAGTGTACGCGAAAATACTCCAGCTGCCGGTGGTGAATGCGTCGGTGTGTTTGAGTAAATTCAGTAAATTTAATATTTGCAAAACTTCCAGAAAATTTAATGTTGAAAAAAAAAAAACTAATTCATTTTATTTAAAACGCAAACAAACAGGTTCAACTTAAATTTATGAAAAAGTCCAACGGCTATCGGCCTTATATTGGTGAGGTGAATTACGATGGCTGCAAATTTTTGGAAACACAAAAAAATCCCTTGGTTAAATATTTGTACAGTTTCATACGTCCCTACACGAATGTCAACCACACATGCCCGATAAATGTACGTAGAAAGGCTTTTGATCAGCTTCATCAATTCGTCAATTCTTGATTGTTTTACTTTCTTTCTAGCATGATATTGCTTTGAGTAATTTTCGCATCGATGAAAAACTTTTGAATCGTGCTGGCATTCTACCAACTGGAGAATATGCATTTTTCATCTCGTGGACTTTGAATAGCATGAAGTGCGGACGCACGGAAATGTTTTTCAAACATAATGAATAATTAAGTAATTTAAATAAAAAATTAATGCATATATGCAAGAGCTATAATTATGACATTTCATTCTCTTTTTTCTAAATTTATCAATTAAACAATTTAATGGAGCGTACAAATATTTAAAAATGTCTTCACTTATTTAACAGGTGGCATAGGTTTCGCTTATATGGCATCCGCGGCCATAAAATGGATGAAATCAGAAGATAATCCCGCTCTCTCTTAATATAAGAGTACTCTTTAAGACTACTAAACGCGCAATAAATCAATACCTAATTTCACCGGAGACATTAAAGCTTACCTCCGATATGGTATAAGAGGTCTATATGGGAGCCGGTGTGAAAATAGGACGACGGGCGTAGCACCGCCCACTTTTAGATGAAATCACATATCTTAAGACCCGACCAACTGATTTTCACTAAACTTAGAAACGTAGTATTCCACTCATAAACCTATATAACAGCGTGAAAAAATAAATTAATTTGATTTGATTCTTTCACTTTCCAGTACACAAATCAAGAAGTGTTTAATATAACGGTATACAATTTTGCACTAATAACTCCTTCAATGTATGCCACCTTATGATAAAAAAAAAATGGAAAAATCGAACCAAAGCTGTTCAAGCCGCTTTTTATTGTATATTTGGATCCTAGCATCTATAGCTGACTTTTGACCGAAAAATCGATCAATGTATGAGATACAATGTATTGTTTACAAATATAATTGAAATTCAAAGGGAATCTTATCTTGGCAATGGTTTCTCTGTATCTTAGAAATGGCTATAATCGTGTAATTACTCCCTGACTCCCAATATAACTAATTTTAGATTTTCGTCAGGCTGACTTTGCTGTACCAAATCATTGATTATATGTGAGACAACTTAATGAAACGCAGCAAGCATTGTTCTGGTATGTGGCATAATTATAGTTAATAGACAAAATCGGTTCGATACTACCCCAATTCTCATGTACTAAGTAGAGTTATTTTCGTTTTTCTAACAATTCTTAAATATGTCGAATTTTTCGGACAGTGTATAAGTTTTTTAGAATATATGTATATATAAAATTGTTTATATTCCAATCCTCTGTTTGACGTTTTACATCGTAAGGTATTTTCCTGGCTTTATTCCCTGCAAGTAGCAGAAATATAAAATATTCAGCTGTACCGAACTTAATCCTTTACTACATATTATTCAATATACTCAACAATAAAGGAAGTAAGTAGAGAACTCACATGAGATAACTTTTACAATTTCGCCAATAATGGTAACTTTTTACTACAATGTACTAACCTTATTAATAAAAGTAAATTAATATGGCTCAGAAATATTTAATAGTGTTATATTTAAAAACATTCTTCAAATTAATACAAAAAAAAAAAATACTTACATACTCGTATCTCGTACTATAAAATTTTACTATTCTTTCCTTATATGAAATTTACTTTTAAAAACGAAATAAAATTGCCTAAAACCCTTATTTCAAAATTCAACAAAGTATTATGCACAAAATGCCATCAAAGAAAAAACAAAATTAATTGCAGTGAAATCTTCAGATCAAATTCATTAAAGTGTGATTAAGAGAAGAAATAAATGACCGTAAAATATACGAGCTTTTCTACGCTTTTTTATGTTCGGAAACTTATCTATTATTGACAAGACAATACATTTTCAAGCTCAGATTTTCAGTAAATAGCAACAAAAATTAATTAGAAAGTCACAAGAACGAGATTTTATAATAAAATGTAAACAAAAGTGCATTGCATCATTATTGCATTTCACAAACAAAAAGTGCAATTCTTAGGGATTAACTTATATACGGATGGGTCATCACTAGATAATGGAGTGGAAGGTGGTGGTGTCTTTTCAGCCATAGTATATACCAAAATAGTCTCCGACAACCAGACAACTGCAATATCTTAAAGTGCAGACCACAGCAAATAAAGAAAGCCTTTCGTTCTAACAAGCGGTCTCTTGCTGTATCCTATTTCACTATAAACTTGCATGAATACGAGGACACCGGGATATTCCTGGCAACAGTGAAGCAGATGAACGATCCAGCGAGCACGATCCAGAGCGAGCTTAAACTTCTCCAGTAGTACAGGGTAGTTCAGAAAGGACATGAGAGAGATTTTATGCCGGTGGTTTCAGAATGAGTCTCTTAAAGAATTAGCTGCATCGTCTTGAATCCATCATACCAAGTATAAATCTAGAACCTCATATATCTTTTCGTTCATTCAAAGGCAGTAAAATCAATCGAAAATGAAAGCCAGTTTGGTTTCTTTGTAGCACTAATTTTTTATTCTATTTTATTTTATTTTATTTTATTTTTTTTTTTTTGAGAAATTCCTGGTAATTACTTTTTAAACATATTTATTTCTTCTTTATGCCATGAATAGTTATTACCAACTCATGGAATTTCACACAAATATTACTTTCAACGAAGTTCGCTGAGTTCATTGTCATTACTATTAGAATATTTTGCAAAATCGTTTGGAGGAATACATTAAAATTAATGATGTTAGTTCTCAGAAGTAGAGAAGATACTACATTTACATGTTTGTAGATGTTTACTTTTTTCGCCAAATTTTTTATTTTTTTTTTCAATTATTAACTTCGTTCAACTTGATTATATTTCCAATGCCTATCAATTGCCTTAGTTTGCTTCCTTTTTTCGGGCTGATTTTATATCTAGAAATAGTATATATGTATATATCGAACTGGTGATCTAAGTAGTGTTTTTTTTTTTTTTTTTTTTTTTTTTTTTTTTTTTTTTTTTTTTTTTTTTTTTTTTTTTTTTTTTTTTTTTTGCATGAGCTGTATCACGTTGTCATGTTATTTTTGTGCAGAATTTTCATCATGAAAGCATAAGCACACTATTCGCCACACAGTCACCCATCTTCATACCCAGCATTCATTATTGAATATTATTCGACCGAATAAACCACGTCCAGGATGCCATGAAGGAAGTGTAGCAGCCGTAGCTGAGAGTTCACACGAAGACCGTGGAGAGTCGATTCGGTGCGGTTTGCAGCAACTTGGGCTGAGGTATAGAACGACTTGGTTAATTTAACTTCGATATCTTAACATGAAAACATACAAAGAACTGAAGCCGCTCGACTTTATCAAGTGACATTGCTTCGCCCTATAAGGTCTTGAAAAGTTCTAGATAGATCCAACATTTTCGAGCCAAATTTTGCTCAGCGATGAGGCCCGTTTCTAACTCAATGGGTATGTAAACAAGTAAAATTGTCACATTTGAGGCGAAGAAAAATCTGAAGCCATTCAAGAGCTGTCATTTCATCCAAAAAAAAAACAGCGTTTTGTTGTGGCTTGTGGGCTGGTGGATCAATCGGTCCATATTACTTCACAAATGATACCGGTGAGAACGAACCCGTCAATGGAGAACGCTCTTGTGCCACGATAACCGATTATTTGATGATCTTGTTTTCAACAAGATGTCGCCTTTTCCCACCATGGAATCAATGGATTTATTTAGAGAAAACTTCAGTGAGCGGATAGTTTCTCGTTCTTGGCCGGTCGATTGGCCACCAAAATTGTATGATATCATATCGTTAGACTACTTACTATGGGGTTTTGTAAAGTGATAGGTCTAAGCGGGCAATACCCTGGACTCAACAGATTGATCATCTAAGACGTTAAGGAGATAATCTTCAAGAAATAAACGCCAAATAATATTTTTTCGAGTGGTAACAAACATCCCCCCTTAAATTCAAAGTTTCTGTATTTTTTCTTTAAACAAAATACGAAACCCCTTCATGTATCATCTTCTATAACCTGTTTGTGGTTTGTGAACAAATGACTTCTAATGTAAGGGGTCTCATCTTCCTGGAACGGTGTGAAAATTAACAACTTCGGAAAGCCGAATATCTCTTGATATGCCATTTGTACTATACATGTATGTATGTATTTGTATTTTGGGGAATTTTGGTGTTTGATGTGTATTGCCTGTAGAGCTTTGAGTTAACACTTATTTGCCTCCACAAGCATATTTTCTCATGAGTGGATTTGTTGTATACAACAACAATTTTGTTTTTCAAACTCCAAAAAATGCAGATATTTGCTAATAGCAAGCTGTGATGCTTCTATCGTCTTGCTGCTGAAGTATGCTTACCTGGTAAAGTGATTTTTTCGAAATTTTTATTTCACCGAATTTTTCATAAACTTTTTATATTTTTTTCTTTTACGTTAAAGAAATTGTTAAGTGTTGTTTGTGTTCCTGTTAAGTGTGCATATGTATGTTTAAAGCTGACCTCTCGAATAAATGGCTAAAATCTACCAAAAATATATGCCGCAGAATGTTCTCTTGAATGACAATAAACACTTTGCATTAAATGTGAATTTTCTGTGATTTTTTTCTTTCAAAATGTAGGAACCTCGGAGCGGACCACCCTTCAATATAATAATATATGTGTTTGTAACAATGTGTGTGTGTATGTTTGTATATATTTTCACTAACTCCTTAAAGTTCTCAAAAGTAAATGATTGTCAACGAAAATATTAGCGGTACTTTGTGAATTGAAGGACGGGAATTTAATAGTTGACAAAGGTGTTTTGCGCATCTTTGCGCTCTTTGCTTTTCACTCTTCCCTCTTTGCTCTTCATTCTTTACAATTTCAACGTTTCAGAACTTTTTCGCAACTTTCTTTTATCATTATAAAATCCAGGGCATTTCTGCTTTGCGTCAAGCTTTAAAACAAAAGCTCCTTGGACAACTACCAACAAAGCAAAGCACTAAGCTGTTGTCAATATTATATACCGTTAAGCATTTACATGAAGCGTTTGTGTTTCAGTGCTGTTTTGGTCATTGTTTGCTAGCATGAATTTTATTGTTGCATAAAATTTAAAGTTTGAAACTATTAATTTCAACAAGTATAATGTTAAGCTCCTATAATCGCTTTGGCTTAACGTTGAATTGTAGCTTATCGATTAACTTTTAATAGAAGTAGAATGCTGTGACGTAGTCTACAAAGTCACTTCATCAGCTATT